CGGATTATAGCGTTGTAAGTCCACGGACATACCGCTGTGCCACTGGGGGCAAATAAACAGATAACAACAAAGATTTGAAATTAAAGCTGAGGTCGTTGGGGTTAGTTAGTTTCTATATAACAATCTTACTCGTGTATCTCATTCCAAACAAACTTTGATATATTTATCTTTAGGGTCTTCTGTCAATCGAATGGTTTATTTGTTTGTTTATTGTTAAACACAAAGTACACTATTGGCTCTATGTGCTCTACCCACGACAGACTTACCGAGGACTTCGAATTAACGGAAAATTAATTTCTCTAAAACTTAGTTTCCTCGAAAAAAATATAAACAGTCATGTTGCATTCCTTTTGCCTCCGCGGTGGCTCTGCTGTGCTGTAACTTTGATTTGTTTGCTTGTTTGTTTTGAATTTTGCGCAAAGCTACACGAGGGCTATCTGCGCTAGCCGTTCCTAGTTTAGCAGTGTAAGACTAGAGGGAATAAATAACTCACTGCGCAAGTTTACACTTAAACAAACAAATAAAAGCATTCTTTACACCGGAGTGAAAATATAATATAATCTAGGTATGTGCTGCTTTATATCATGAATAATACCGAACGGCTTTGCACGAATATTCTAAAACACAAACAACAGCTCATCATAAAAACTGTGTGAAAATAAAATGAGCTACAGTAGTTACCGAAAGAGATTTTATCTGTTCGTTAAATGGAAGTGTATCAACTTATTTATTTTATATCTTGATAATATGTATATTACAAGGTGGTCCAAAATTATCTTTCCTATTTTAAAATTTAATAATTAAATGATTAAAGAAATGGAACCATACAGTTTTCAAAATTTTGTAGTCGAACTCAAAGAGTTTTTATTGTCAGTAGACTCCTAGTGTGCAACGTTACTGGCTCTCATCACGTTTAAACGATATTAGGTTTCAGTCCATGTTCGCTGCAACATGTCCACAGTTACAGAGGCGATGGCATCCGTTATCACGGTCTTTAGCTCCGTGATGTTTGCTATAGGTGTGCAATAAATGATGCCCTTAACATACCCCCAAAGAAAGTAGTCTAGTAGAGTGGTGTCTTGGGAACGTGGAGGCCAAAGAATTGGCCTACCACGACCAATCCATCGCATTGAGCCTCTTCTTGCACGGTTGCCACGTTATGGGGTAACACTACTCACTGGAGTTTAAAAAAATATGACAATAAAAACTGTTTGCGTTGGGCCACAAAACGTTGAAAATTGTATGGTTGTATTTCTTTAGTTATTTTATTTAATTATTAAGATTTTTTCAGGAGATTATTTACTATTAAACAATAGTTTTTGTTCATTTTTAAATATGTCAGGACGTTTTTAACGAAATCAATACATCACTTATAGTGCACATATATATTACATTGTTATAGATACCATTTTAAACATGCAAATCAGTGCTGCCACCTGGTAGATGCAGTTTTTTCATAAGCGTCTATTTACACATCAGATTACGTATTTATCAGATTAATGCAAGCGTATTAAGACCAAGTTATTGACTTTTCAATAATACACTTTCTACATATAGTCAAATGGTGAATTTCATAGAATGATATATTTGAAGGTAACTCTCCAAAATTTTAAAATGCTCCTCCTTTTTATTATATTTTCAGGTTGTTGGATTGGAGATTGGGACTCCACGCTGTAACGGGTATCGTGTTTTTAACGTTTTTTCTTGGATTTTTTTACCGATCAGCCTCCTTGTACCACCCTCAGCGAAGAGCAATACTTCATTTGAAGAACCAGAAACGAAAAGTTAAAGACAAAAATGTTTCTCAAGAAAAGATTCCTTTCCTGGACTTTTCACCTCTTAAGACAAAAACCTTGCAAATAATCATGCTTTCAACCTCACTGTCGTCGTTTGGGTTGTATACACCATATTTTTACTTGGTATGTCGACCTAAGTATCGATAAAATATATTTAGCCATCGTTTAATGCCAATCGCTTTAAATAAATCAGTACATAGCGATCGTCTTAAAAATCTTCGAGCAGTTCATTCGTATTGTCAATGCATTTTTCATCCTTTTGTATGAGTGCGATGTCAGATCTAACCCAGTAATGAAATTTTGAAAATGAAAAATAAATATTTGGTACCGCAATGCTACAGGATGTCCCCTATTACCTTCATTCCCAAAGGTGCACTATGAGATTATGTGTTTTAACATCTATATTTTCTAGCTAAAATAAACTGTCATACAGTAAGCTTGATGGTGAAATATTCAAAATCTATAAAGAAATGTCTGGTTGTGCCGTACACAACCGTAGTTAGATTTGTTGTACGCCTCTCTTTCCCATTTCCCACATTAATGACTGACGAGTTATTTTACTAAACATCTGTTATTACTTGTGTGTGTTTGTATGTATAAACGTAATTAAAAAATAGCAGTCATTTTAAAATTACTTTAAACCTATTTTTGTTCAATAGTTTTGGTTTTTGTTAAGCAGAAAGCTACACAATAGGCTATCTGTGTTCTACTCACCACGGGTATCGAAACCCGATGTTTAGCAGACTTACCGCTGAGCCACTGAAGGGTTGTTCAGTAGCGACAGGCCAGCATGTTCCGTTTGATACGTTATCTACGTCCCCTGTATTTGCATCAATATTTACGTCCAAGCTCTTTACTCTAACTTCGAAATAAGCTAGGTGAATATTTAGTTCCACGAGTGTAGACAGTTGAAGTTGATATACCCTTTCATTAGAACTTTTGATTATTTATACTAATATCATTTCTAAGATTTCTAAGGTAAGCCTACTCATCACGGTCATATCACAGCTGTAAGGATATAACAGAGAACTTACAAACTTCACAACAATAATACATTTTTTCTGATTGGTTCTTTAATTCTGGAAAACTTTGTACGTATCCCCAAAAGTTCATATGTCTAACATTGTCGTCTTATCTATAGAAAATTAACACTTGTGTAGTGAACGTTTTGATAGTAGAATTGTTTGATCTTTCGAAAAAGTCGTCTTTCTGACAAATCAGCCTAACAATATTACCAGTCTGACTGATCTTTTTGTTGGATTTTCAAAAAGAGTCGCTAGCTTTTGAAACACTCGTCGTAGCAAACAGCTCATTTCTCAGTCGCCCATCCATCCCGTTAAACAGCCTTCTAAAGTATCAGAAAACATCTATGTACTACGTATGCATTTATGGAACGCCGAAATGCACCAGCCATGCAAGAAGGATCTCAATTTTTTATTTTTAACGTGTTTTTTATGTACTGGTTGCTTCTTCTTCCAGCATTACAATCGCTTTTGAAACGGAAGACGTTGTGTGTGTGTATGAGTGAATGCGCATGAATGTAGTTGTAACGATACATTTCAATGAAAAATATTATGTTTTTATATTTTTATGGTACAGTGTTTTCTATATATCATTCGAAATATCTTTAGCAGTTTGAATCAATTATCACAATGACATAGTAAGTTTTATGGCCCTTAAAATTACAGTTAATGTAATAGAAAAATTGTATTCTTTCTCTGTTAAACAAATTAATATATCGTTCCTAAACAAGTTAAATATGCACGCCAGATTTTTTAGTGTTAATATTCGTAATTACTAAGAATTACTATGGGTCCAGATTGAAAGTTAACACTTTACTGTTCTTGTGAACATTATAATACATGTTTTATTTTCTCCCATATAATTTTCATATATATTTGAAAATATATTTACAAACAACATTTCTAAGTAACGAATTTTATAATATTCTATATCTGTAATAAATATAGTTTTATTCAAATAATATCATTGAGGAAATAATGAAAACGAAAACTGATTGATTACACAGGCCTGCGAATTTAAACTTCATAAAATTTGTTTTTGTTTTAATAACAGATTTTCCATAATTCAATTTGTTTGTTTTTAATTATGCACAAAGCTACAAAAGGGCTATCTGTACTCTGCCCACTACGGGTATCGAAACCCGGTTTCTAGCGTTGTAAGTCCGCAGACATGCCGCTGTGCCACTGGGGGGCCCATAATTCAGCTACGCAGATTTCGAAAATAATATTCATTTTTTTTCTGTCACGTAAGGAGTTTTTGCAAATCGGGAAGAAAAGAAAATCTCTTACGTAGATCAAATTATTATTTTGTTTAACACAATGAACATTTTTTGTTATTTATGTTTGCTAACAAAAATACAAACAAACTGAATAAAATGGAAGAACATTGATGTCAAACAAATATTCAACCTTATTCATCCTGATTTTTTTGTGAAAGCTACGTCTTTAAGTCTCAAAACTACGTGTTGTGGTCTTTCTTTCATGTATTGCGTTATGACGTTTTGTGGAAAATCTGTGCGTGATGGAGGTAAATGGATATCATTTTCGGATTCAGCGTACAGGAATTACTTTTGTTTTTGAATTTCGCGCAAAGCTACACGAGGGCTATCTGCGCTAGCCGTCCCTAATTTAGCAGTGTAAGACT